TTCAGTCTTGGTTTGACCTCTCATTAACCCCGATGGTCACGTGCGCAGATATAATATGGGAAGGGGAGGATGTCGAGAGGTGGGCGGTCGGCTGAGCATCATGGTTGTGTTGAAAGGGAAGACAATGGCGACGTGGAGTAAGATGGACGCTAGAAAGATGGAGGGGAGAACGGAGGGAGGGAGGGGGAGACAAAGACTATGTCACATACCACAACACGCTTTCTCCTTTTCCCATTTCTTTTGGCATTTCTGTGCATGGTGAAGAGATTTTTGAAGTTCTTTGCTGTTTCAACAGCGATTTCGTTAGAACGGACATTTTATATGTTTTGAACGAAATTGAAACCCACTTCTTCGGCCTTGGAAATGTCACCGTTTTAGCTCGTTAGGGTCCCCCTTGGATGTACCTGAACTTCAGTTGAGTCCAAATAAACGGTGATATTTTTTGGGCCAAATAAGAAAGTTGCAATTTCCTTCAAAAAATATAAAATGTCCGTTTCGACGGAATCCCTGTTTTTCTGTTGATGATGAAGTGAGAACGTCCGATTGATCCGTCCATGGAGATAGGGAGGCAGGGAGGGAGGGGGAGGGGGAGAGAGAGAGAGAGAGAGAGAGAGAGAGAGAGAGAGAGAGAGAGAGAGAGAGAGAGTTTCTTTCCTTTTTCATTCCCTTGGCATTTCTGTGTATTGTGAAGAGATTTTTGAAGTTCGTGCATGTCTGTGCATTGTGAAGAGATTTTTGAAGTTCGTTGCTGATTCTTGATGATGAAGTGAGAACGTCAGACTGATCGCTGGATGGATGGATGGATGGGGGGGGGAGAGAGAGAGAGAGAGAGAGAGAGAGAGAGAGAGAGTCGCTCTGCTTATGTCCTGCAACTTCTCCCTGTTCCCCCACATGGGTGACACACACACTCTCTCACACACACACACACACACAGACAGACACAGAGAGAGAGAGAGAGAGAGAGAGAGAGAGAGAGAGAGAGAGAGGACATCACGCGTGAACTAATTTCGCCTGCTGTACCAACTAACTCCCCAGGACCGCGTACCCTTCTTTTTCTTGGTGGGTTGGCGCTTGCTTCGTTTCTGAAGTGTGTAACAGGGTCCAGTCGGCTATTATCTGCCACTATCCGTTTTTTTGGGGGTCCTCGCTGATGTGGAAGTGGTCATTCCAAAAAAAGGTGCAAAATGAACAGATGATGCGGAATACCCCTCTTCGTGAAATGCCCTTTTGATCTACCCCTGTCAGGGGGTTGTGCAAGTTTAGCACAAAGTTGGCAACCCCCTGACGGGTATAGACTGTATAGCGCAATTAGTTAAATTCAAGAGAACATTTAAAAAAAATAAAAAATAAAAAATCAGGAGGGCATTTCACAAACTCTCCGGTCTACCCCTGACAGGGTCTACCCACTGTAACAGCGCGAAGCGCGGGGCGCAGCCAGGGCAGAGGTGTTGTAGCGGGGATGAAGTTTTGAGTGTTGTAATGTGTTGTTTTATAACAGGCCAGTCACGAGTTTTTGCATTATCTAGATTTGAACATGGGTCAGTATTTCAACATCTCACATTGTTATACGTACTGAGGTGCGGTCTTCGGTTACAGACCAAAGTTTGAATCCAGTCCAGAATCCACTGGTTCAGAACACCTCCAAAGAACAAGAACAAAACGAAGCAGGAAAAAAAGAGGAAAGAAAATGAACCCAAGGAATGGCAAGCCAACATTGAATTGTGAATGATGCTATGAAGAAGAAAACGATTTCTTTTTGTTCTTTTTTTTTATAAAGAAATTGGCATGGCGTGCGAGGAAAGCGGGTCCAGCGTCCCATCATACATTTTATACAGCATGAAATAGTGAGAGACACATTTGCGAGCCTTCTATTACATTGTTCGCTGTGAAATACCCCATAGTACTTAGCCTCAACAATCAGTTCCCTCCTTAGTTAAGGTAGTGAATGGTTTGTGTGACGCCCTCTTATCGGATAAACTGTCTACGCCGTGAATCCCTTTGGTCCCATAACCCCCTCTGTTCGGTATCTATTAGTCCGTTGTTCCCTTTCCCCTGTCCTTCTTCCTTCGTATGTTGTATTTTGTTGGTCCTGCTGTCTGCTTGCTGACCATTATCCTTAGGCCTTTAAGTTCTTCATTTCTCCCTTGCCCTGCGGCGTAGGCAGACCATTCGTTTGACCCCGTGTCTTCCCTGTGTTTGGTGACTGTTGTGCTTTACAAAGAACATCCCACATGACTGAATGGGGTTTGACTGATGGGGGAGGAGGGGCAAATAGGAGAGAGGGCAGGGGGGGGGAGAAAGGAAACCTGGCTGGCGGCCACCGCAAAAACCGCTATACACCTACATATCAAATCCATTCCTCCATAACATGTCTCCCAAATAGCAAAGAAAAGCAAGCATAGTTACGGAGCACAGAACCTCCATGCAAAGAGCACGAACCTCCATGCCAAGCAGAAACTGGTCCTTGCCTAAGACTGGTCACCTCACAACCTCAACCGAGACTTGAATCGTTCATCGACTACCCCCTCGTTTTCGCTGCATGTGAACTGAAACATAGCTTGTATCCGTTCATTATTGGTATCGATATCGAGGTGCGTTATGCTCGGGGGAAGACCATTCAACTCACAAGGCATATAAATGAGATTGAGTAGGTCAGCCCACCATGATATTTCCCGAAAAAGAAACCCGAACCTTACAACCCAGGTATGCGCAGCCTCTGGCTGCAAACATTTAGTAGGACACTCGACCATCGACTTTAAAAAACCAAAAAAAAAAAAAAAAAAAAAAAAAA